ATTATGTAAAAAAACCTTTTGGACGGAGTCTGTTGAAAGCACTATGTAAAAGATATATATCTGTTATCTCGTGCGCACGTCACTTGAGCAGAGTGTAAGCAAATGAAGATAGCCTACATACGATACGGTTCGGTAACATACAAGCAATACAGAATTGCATCAATGAGAGAAGAAGTCAGCGGTGAAAGTGCCGCTGTTCTTCAAGGCGCGCTTATCGGTTCTTATCAAAGCGCCGCTTGCGCAGTGATATAAATAAAAAATTAGACAACAGAGTATAGAGTGTATAATATTAAATATAGATACCTTCTATATTTAATATTTAACGATTAATTACAAGCATGATTAAACTGCATCGACATATAGTATTGGAGTATTCAAAATTTCTTTAATTTTTCATCTTGACGGACTTAAAAAGAGAAAGGTAAATATATGAGCATGGGATTTTCTCTTTCTGTTATTATCTTATTGTTCGAATTTTGTTTCAAGAGAGAGAACAGTGTATTTTATCCATCTATCTCTTTCTAGGTCTGTCGAAATTGTTAAGATGCTATGGTTACAGTACTATATATCAATGTTAAACTATTCAAAAATTCACGCTTGTTCTCACTTCTATTACCGATTTCTACATTTCCTCTTGCACATTACCTTGTATAGTCATCGGCGCTTCGTGTATTCCATCGTGCGGTTTGAAGCGGCCGCATATGGCAACGAAAGTTTTTGCGTAATTGCGAAATACATCCCGCCGAGTCATTCCAACCAGTGCGTTATTCGAATCGTCAAGGTGAGGTCAGACTTAAGAAGAAAGAGAGAAGGGGGAAAAATGAAAATGAGAAGATTGACCGAGTATCTTACGTCTCCGTCGCATCTCCGTGCAACTTTGCCATCCTAAAGCCCTCCAAAGTTCTCCGGTCCTGTTCGACGCAGGACGAATTTCCTAGGGCTACTTAACCTGCGGCAACACGTATTTCCCATGCATTTTAAGGATTTCGGACTATAGGGGCGGTGTTTTGTCGAAGTATGAGCACGTAGTTGCCGTGAAAGGATCATAGAGTGGACTTAGCTACGGAATCCCGTGTAAAACTTGGCCGGAATAACAAAGTTCCGCGTCTCAGGGTGCATCTCCGCGCATCCCTCCCACCTTGCACCCCTTCCGCGGTCAGACTCTTAATTTTTTCCGAACAGCTCTATTATGACGTCCAATCTCAATTTTATTCTCGTTGGCGCTTCATGATTGTGCAACGAACTCGCACGTCCAATGTAGAAGTTTACAGAGTCATGAAATACATAACAAGATACGAGAAATATACTACAAAATATTTTCAACACATTTAGATATTTAATTGTTAAGTCTGTGCTACGATCTTATATTTTGAAGGGAAAAAATTGAAGAATGAATTTGAACTATTCATTATTTGACAGTATAAATAAGGAATAAATGTAATATATTTAATCTTCCAGAGCTGTGACGTGAGCTGTGACTATTGAATCTATACTATTAAAAATAAAAAAGAGATAATTTTGAGATTTTTTACATCTCAGAAAGAGACTATACGTCTTTAAGTTAAACATTTTATTTTACAATAGACTATGCTTTAATTGTTTGAATAATAAAAAAATTCTGATGGTCTATCACATGAATAAAAATAATTCAGCTTTTGCTATGAAGTTATGATAAAAAATATATTACTATATTTAAATTTACTATTAATTCTTAATTCATATTATTGAAATGTATTTATTTCTTTTTTTTTATACGAATTATGTCATTTTGATTTCTTGAAGTTAATTAGTATCTTTTAATCCACAGATATTAAATCTTACAAATTCAGTGTCAATAATTGTGTTACAGATTTGATGTCAGCTACGGAAGATTAATATTTTATCACATCTTTTTCCCTTTTTTTTTTATTACACTTGACAGGTGACTTTATTCGTTTTACGTTTCACTAATTCTGAATTTGTTAGAATATTTGGGGAAAGAAGAATATCTTGTTCTTTTCCAATAATATTTTTAAATTACAAAATCTATGTTCTCTCATGTTAGCCGATAACGATAAACGCGCGGAACGTCGTCGTTTAAAGGATAGTTTCGATGCAAAATTATCTGTAATAAAACTTCGTTGCGAACAATGTATGGGCTGTTTTCTGGCAGGATGTGCTGCGCATCATGGTCGTTATCGCGATCTAAAATGGTCCCTCGCAGTGTGTTTTATCTGCGTCCCGCTAAGCCCGGACTTCCGCAATTTCGAAACAACAAGCACGTCGGGCGTTGTCGCGTTCTTAACTCGTGTTCATGGCTGTTAACGCTCAAGTAATACATTCGCGAATATAAGATAAAAAGTTAATTAATACGGAATTGGAATAACGATATCCGCTGCGTTACATGTTTCTTCTGATATTTTTTTGATCTGAAGAGAAGGCATTAGAGTGTTCCGCAAACGGAACGTTGCATGCGGTTGCAACGAACGTTTGAGTTGTTTCGAACGCGAATTAATAAACGTACCGCCGTGTCATTAGCCTCGTTAAAACCGAGTTCAAAGTTACGTAACACATACCGCCGTGTGTTCGCACTCCCTTTTCGACGACGTGTGCATGCGCGAGCAAATACAACTTACGTGTGTAGGCGCGCGCGACCGTCGGATGCTGCACGCGAATCTTTAAATGACGCCCGACGAGGCGTATAAATGCGCCACCGTAATAATACGTTCTCAGCTCTGGTGCGATTTAAGCTTCATTACCAGTGCACGAGCCTCCCATCTCGCGCCCATGGAAAAAGACACGACGTTTCCGCTCACGTGTTGCAGTGCACTTTGTGCGTGCGTACATCTATCGCAGCATCGGAAACGAGATATCTGTCTTTACTTGTCCTTCGTTCGTTGAAAATAAATCGCTGATGCACCTCGAAATTAAATGAATTTTTTATACAAAACAGAAAAGAATCGCAGATTGAAAAGTAAATTACAGTAGGTATTGCTAAAAATTAATTGTAATCTTCTGAGAGAAAGGAAAACTTTTGTTAATTTAACGAGCCACTAGTACCTTTAACAAGTGATCGGTAAATATGTGACAACAAATTTGGTTTGTTGTGATTGCTGCTAGTCTGCTATACCAACCAATTACTAGTAACAGAAGCAAACTATATAGAATCTAATCTATCTTTAGGATAGACTTTAGGCTCATTTACATAGAAATCGTAGATGATCATGGAGTCTTCAGTCGTAGGAAATTCATCACATTAGAATACTTGACTAGAATCGGTCAATTTCTTACGATTTAAGATCCTACGACCGTCTACAACTTCTATATATATGCAAGCTATTGCTTATTTGCAAGTCATATTATTAATTATTTGTTACATTGGCGAATGAGAAATAATTAATTTGCAATAGTAATTAATCGATCATTTTTTTAACAAATATTACATTTATTTTCCCTTCATTTGTGTTCCTATAACAAAATCATTTCTCTCAGTGTTGAAGATTAGGAAATTTTAACAAAATCGACTTTTCATTAATTTTATCGATTAAACCGTTACTCGCAAATATGAGTACGCAAATAGAACGATGAGAGAATTTATTCAAGACGTGAATAAATAAAAACGTTCGTTAATCGATCGTCAGCGCCTTTCCATTCGTACATAAGAAACGCCCGTAAGGTCTCACCCTTCGGTATACCTATACGGTGTATTATTCATACTTATGCTGTAACGGCAGCGTTCTTGCATAACCAGGCGGGTTGTACGTACTCCAAGATCGTCAGGTATTCGCCCATAACGATACGTTATTCCGGTTGGCTCCTGCGGCTTATATCCACCATACGGTACGCTGGTTCTCCATTTTCATCCCGAACGAACTACGTCATTGACCCGCGTACTCGAATCCTGGGCAGTTTGCCGGTCGCGCGGTTCTTACGGAATCACGACGCGCTGCTACCGGCAGAATGGCCCGACGATCCTGAATTTATATCGTGTGTTTAGGTGAGAATTGGTTCTTTATGAGGAACACGTGAGGATACTTGGTGATATACACGCTCAATGGCCTTTCACACGTACGTGCCGTTGCCGCTCGCGCGCGCGTATACGGCCACATGTGGTTATCTTGGTGGCAGGTACTCGGGCACCCGATGAGATAGTGACTTATGCATTTGTCATAAGTGGCAAAAAAATTGTAACGAATACAGAGGAAAGTTTATGAAACCGTTTGACGTATAACCGAAGAGATAGTTTGAGTTTTACATTTCATAAAAAGATTTATAAGCTTGTGCGAAATCCCTCTGTAAAGACGATGAATTAATTAGAGGAGATTGTATCATATATATATATATATTATCGATAAAGAAACAATTGTCAAATTTTATAATTTACAATAACGATAGTGACTTATGAATTTGTTATAAGCAAAAAAGAGTTACGAATGCGGAGGATATCTATAAAACCTTGATATCTTTAGAAAAATATTTTGATATCTTTAAAAGCTTCTTTGAAGCTTGAAAAATTCAAGAGTACCACAAACTTCGAGTTTCGTGAAAAGATTGGGTTTATAAGCTTGTGTAAATTTTTTATAAGGAACGATGGATTAATTAGGGGGATTACATTTATATATTACAATTATTATTGTGGTAGATTGTGGCCGAAACGTTTAATCGCTTATTTATTGATATGGGTATTGATTAACGCTTGAATAATTCATTATTGAATAAAGTTTTAATCATCACAACCGACAACCTGTGCTGTGGTTTTTCATGTTCTTTGTTTTTTTAATTTTTACAATTATTATTGTTTATATATTAGGTGTTGGAATTAATTCGTAGCGTTTTACAAGTGATGGGAAGTACTTTCATTAATGTATTTTTTAATGCTCATGTGAAATAAATAACATTCTTTCATTAAAAAACGCTACGAATTAATTCCAACACCTAATATTATAACTGTTGTCAATAGAAAGACAATTGGTATTTTTTTATAAAGTTTCATAATTTATAATGTCGATCTGCTTTTTCAGGATGACGACTTGATTTTCGATCCGGAGGGCAAACAAACTGTGGTTCAAGCACCATTGATTGAAACGCATCAGGATGATTCTTTTTTTCATAGGATAAAGAGAGGAGTTTTGGATTTAATTACATTGCTATCTACGACAACTACACCACCGCCGACAGGTATCAATTCCTTCTTAATTGAGTACAATTAGCAAAAACTGCATTGTTATATTATAGTAAATTTTTATTGTTAGGATTACGAAATTGAAAATATTTGCATTATTCTTTTTAAGTTGTGTCATTATTCAATTTTCCAATTATCAAATTCTATACTCGATAGATCAAGAAGAAGAAAATGAAATTCAAAATCAAGACATTGACAAATCCGTCATCTTAAACATTGGAGATGAAGGAAATCATACTCTTGATCAGCCTGAAGTGCCAAATGCCAAAACGGGTATCGGTGTCATCCAAAAATTGATTCTCGAGAAGAACGAAGACAATAACGAAGCAGATGAGGTATGGAACATCGCTTCAAAAATAATTTAAATTTTTACCTGTCACATGTAATTAATCCTTACTGTACCAGCTACAATTTGGTGTCTCATCCATACAAACGGGGGCACTACAATCTGTCCGTTTTTTTACCCAGTCAGAAAAAAATCTTTAAAAATTTACCAACATATTTTCTAGAATAAATATTGACACTTCATTTTTTGGAAAATAATCAAATATAATATAATTTATAATTATCGAAAGACTCAAAGAAACTTGCACGAACAGGAATCGCTCAGTCACTAGTGAGTCTCTCTTGTACGATAAGGGTTAGATTGCACGAATATTTTTCATTTAAATGGTGTTCCAAGACAAAATAATTAAAATGATAAATCTATAGAAGGATAGGTACAAGGTTAATGAACAATTTAAACATTTGTGCGTTTTATTCAGTTATGATATTCAATCTATTACATGGAAATTTGTTACGTTTTTACAGCTCGAAAATGAAATTAATAACCCTGTAGAAAGTCAAAGAATACCACTAACGTACGGAAATACCGATGATGAAGATTTGGCTGGTTCAGGAGAGATCGAAGGCAGCGCAGGCGAAGTGGATTACTCTCCCAACTCAGGAAACACACATCGCAACACTGATGGCAAAGCACGTAAGTTTCTAATTTTTTATTCGTGATTTTATTAATTTAAAAAATTGAAGAATGGAGTAGAACAGAGTTTAATTAATTATTTGTCTCTTTTTTTTTGAAAGAGACGAATCTATCTTAAAGTTTTATTATAGATAACTTTAATTATAGAATAGCTACTATATACTAATAGTATATAATAATTTCTTAAACAATATATACATATAATAATAATAAATAAGAAAAATAAAAATTATTATAATTTGTCTGCCGTGCATAAATTTTATCGATTAAAATTGCAATATCAAAAATATTTTAATCCAAAAATTATGTAGTTAATATTAATTTTATTATTATATATTGTTTTATATCAATTTAATATTATCGAAGTCTATTATTTGTTTAAATTTTAGTAAAAGTAAAAGACACTATATTTTTATAATAAGAATTTTTTTAGTGATAAGAAATTAAGACATATTATTTGAATATAGATATTTTTATTTTTCCGATAACCAGAATACTCTTTTTTTAAAACGTGTAAAAAATCTTATCGATATCTTTAGAAATACCAATAAACTTTATCTCTTTTTTACCACTAACTTTTTCAAACGTAGTATCAGTAACGTCAGAGAGTATTAGTTTTATAAAGTAGATAAAACGGAGATGAAGGATAATACATCAAGAGGCTGAAGTAGAAATGATATTTGAAATAAAATTGCTCTTTATCAAATAAATATATACAATAAATATAAAAGAAATATAAAAATTATTTATTGATATATTTCTATGAAATTACTTATTATTAATGAATGTTTCTCTTCTAGGTTTCTATCGAATAACATTGACAGTTGGCGAGCCGTACAGACGAGAATACGCTGATAGAAACAGTCTTGAATACCGAGAATTGAGTAGCAATCTTACACACGCCGTCGAAAATGTGTACAATCGTCACATTCCAGGATACAATCATTTCGCTAGTGTCGTCAAGATATCGTAAGTACGATTGTCCAGTCCAACTTAGATTCTTAAAGTCGTGTCTCCTTTGTTTTTAATAATTAAAATTTCTCTTTTAGGCCAACGACCGACGCTTTTACGTCGCAAGTTACTCTAGACATTGGTTCGACATTCACGGACGAGCTCGAAGTGCGTGCTATCCTAGAGCAACAGCTGCAATATCATTCCTTGGACAGTATCCAAGTAGGTCCGGAGGGATTCACGTTCAGGATATTCCAAGGTATTTCCATCTTAGACGGCTATCGCTTAACGACATGGAAATGATCGATTTCACGTTGGAGCTTTCGAAACTAAACTTCGTAATTCGTTCAGCTTTCCATGATGCCACTAGCTTGCGAAAAGTCGAATATAGAACGTACGAAGATCCGGTGAATATCGAACGATCGACTGCTCAACGAATGGGATTGATAGCTGCGATCGGAAAAAAATTATACGTAACAATCGAAAAGACAATGGTCCGTATTCACACCTGACTTTTATAAATGCGCGCATTTATTTCTTAGATTCTATAGTGTGTATATATATATATATATGATGTAAATTATATACTAAATTATATACTAAATGTATATTTATTGATAAAAGTGAGATGTAAATATCGAATCTAACATTGAAACCGATCATTTTGGTAAAACGCACGATTTCAGAGTGTTTAGAATTATTGTTAGATTATTGTTAGATCATTGTTAGAATATTGATACGCGCAGAAATGCACGGGAAAGAGCAATTTTTGTTTCAACTGCAAGCTTCACTCGGAATTTTCACGATCTCCAATTACATAGTCTATATTTTTTATTCTTTAAGATTCTTATTTTAAGTTCATTATTATCACTTTAATTTAAATGTGTTTATTTTATAATTCCAGTTTCCTCCTTAATTAATTTTTCGTTCTCATTAGTTGTTTTTCTTTTTTTCAAACTTCCTCTCCCTTTCAAATGAACACTGACTGGTGGCACGATTTGCTTATTCCGCCTACTTTCGACGCAATCAATGCACACGAACACAACACGCGACATCCGAACACAGCCGGAGAAAAAGACACGCAGCCGGAATGCGATCAGATGACAGAATTAAGATGCAGAAGCGGCGAATGCGTACCTTTAGAATCCCGCTGTGATGGTGTATCACAATGCAACGATAGTTCCGATGAGGACAACTGCCCGACAGATTCATTGAATAAGACACGCGACGGTAAGTACGCGGAACTCCGCACTGCGTGATCTTCTTCCTGTAAAGGATAGAAAACTGTATATAATGCTAAATCATTGTTAATAGCGCTTATCTGTAAAACTCGCTCATTATTTTTATCCTTTTCTTCCGATTAACGAAAATTACAATGTGGCCAATGTGCAAATATACGGTACGTTGTAACATAAGTATAAGCATGAATTTCGTCGTAAACATCAGCATGATCTATTTATTATTATATTAATTTTTTTAACTGCATTAATTTACATTTAATACGCATTACCACGTTTACGTATACATGTCTCTTAAAACTATCTTTGAATATCTCTCAGATTTTTCACGGAGATTCAACTCGCCGGTGTGGCGAGCTCTATTATAGATTTTCTGTCTATCATCTTTTCTACTTCTATCTTCATTATCGTTCGTTTTAAATTAACTCTCTCCTAGCGTTTTCAATCTTGCCTAAATAACACAGTTCATTATAAATTTATTTTTTAATACAATTCATGTGGCTACAGTAAAATATATAAAAGAATTTATATAAAAGAAATACTTATATTTATATTTTATTATTATATTTTAGGAAAATATAGAGCGTATAATTAAAATTTATTTGAACAAGAATATTATACAAAAATGATTAATACAGAAAGAATGATTTTACTGAAGTATCATATTTAATTATGGATGCTCAAATTGCTAAAACGTCAAAACTTTTTGCAACATTGTTTTTTTTTATCATGCTTGAGTTTTCTATATAATTATTTTGATCTAACAAAATTATATTTTCAGATCTGTATCTATCTAAATTTTTAATTCAGCAAAATCATACTTTCCCTGTATAATATTCTTGAAAACTAGATTTTTTTTCTACTTACATATCTTTTTATACTCAATCCTAGGAATATACAAAAGTCAATAAAAAAATCAGTTGATTTTATTTTGATTTTTAACGTCAATGAACAGTCAAATGTTGTAACCAAAAATTATTATTTTGACTTTTTTTTTACTTAATATGTTTTTTGGGAAGTAGTACTACAAGCAAAATGAAAGCACTGGTTGAAAAATCTAGTATCACTGTGTCATCTTTTCATCCAATTCATATTCTTCGCTAACAAGCGTGTAAAAATCGCATGTTGCAACCGTCGACACTGAAACTACGCTGATAAACGAAACAACAGATTTTGAATACACCACCGTGACATCACAACATCCCTCGCTACATTTCCCGACGGAGACGACTCATACGGTAAATCCGGAAGTACCGGACATCGACGACAAGCAGACCGAGGAGTCCACGCTGAGGTCGTCTTCGAACAAGTGCCGCGCCGATGACACGGTACGCTGTCACGACGGCAGTCGTTACATCTGTTCTGTACAACAATGCGATGGCGTTCCGGACTGCGATGACGGTGGTGACGAGATCGATTGCCCACATCCAGGTACAGATTGAGCCGGTTGACCTTCGCCAAGGATCGGACGCTAAAAGTCAGCGATCTAGAAGAACCGCCTCTCATTATAACGAAAACAACTTAATTAAAAATCGAAGAATTGTATAATTTTGAAATTACAATAAAAGAATTTTAAAAAACTTCAATAGGAATTATATTCGCGGAAACTTAAAATAACAGAAGCGGTTCTTCTAGTTAAAAAATGTGTACTTAACTTTGTCTTTCTTAATGTATGTATGCGTATGCATAAATATGTATATATAAGCTTCTTTTAATGTGATATCCTTTTATACACAATCAATTTTTATACACAATTATTGGATATACATTACTGTGTATGTTTATTCCTTACTTCAAAAGTGAATAATTCAAAGAATTAAGTTTTCCAGAAATAGGGAAAAATTATTTTTCAACTTGACAGAAAATTATTGACTGATTAAATAATATCGCAGCAAAAAGAATATATTCTTAACATGATCAAATGTCATTTTTATTATTTTTGTTTTACAACTTTTTAAATACCATCCTTCTTGAGTTATACCGATTTTTTTTAACCATTTTGATAATTTTTATAGATTTAAATTAGTTTATTTTCTTGTGGTTGATGATAATAAGGTAATGTTTTTTATTTAACTCATTCATGATAATAACTCGGAAATCATGTTTTTTAATTGGATTACTTTTGAAACAAGGAAGCAATTTTATATATGAGCCATGCTTATAAAGTTTCAATTACATGTTTTATTCTCGTTTTATAAAATTGTATGTATATTATTAGAATTAGTAAGCTTTTGTATCGATGCATGTGCTAACGAGAATGAAATTCTCATATGTTTTTTAATGCTTTTTATGTTAAAAGATAAATTCTTGTATTTTTATCAATATTATATACGACCGCATTTTTAAAATTTAAAAGCATATTGTGATAAAATTGTAATGAAAGTATCTACTGATACACGTAATGATTTACGTTTTACAGGGTGTAGTGCTGGCGAGTTCGCGTGCGACGTAAACAGATGTATATTAGACTCTCAACGATGCAACTTTGTGGAGGATTGTCAAGATGGTAGCGACGAACATGACTGCAATTATCCAGGTAAGTATCTCGATTTTTGTTGTAATGTAGCATAATTGTATGATATTTAATCTTTCGGTGTCCTAGTATGGCATACTCGTTTCTTTTAATGTGCTATGTTATGATTTTATTGATAAAGATACATACATTTGTTAATTTTTAAGCGATATTTTTTTATAATACCCATGTGGTATTGTATAAAAATATTGCATAAAAATAGATATAAAACGATAGAGTGGTATCGAAGGATTAAAAATGAATCGCAGAAACTCTTCTATTCAAGTAAAATGAATATTCTTTGGTCTCAAAATGACGTAAAAAATAGAATTATATATGCATATTTATTTCCATCTAATTTTATACATACATATGAATATAATTATCAGATGGATAAAAAATAAAATAGCTGCGGTTCTAATGTTAACTTATTCTATAAAATTAACAATCCAACTCTCATAGAAATATTTATCGCCTAAAACATTTATTTTTACTTTAACTCATTCTCATAAAATAATATATTAATTAAACTTTGAAAAATATATATTAAGAAAATATGACAATAAAAAATCAAATCAATTATCCTTTGATTTTACGAAATCTCGGTTTTACCGACCGCCTGATAACGAACGGTGCATATCATTCTTAAACAACCTAACATCTTACCTACGACCGTTAGTTTATCAATCTGGACGAAGAGTTGAGCATAGACCAGTTACCTGTTCTACCGACTTAAGGGATCGATAGAGCCGTCATCCTTCGGTACTCTTTTCCATCCCGTTAGAACTTCACTTATCGAGATCGACGGTTTATCGGCAACGCGTATCCGTCCCGACGCCGCGACATTAATTCAAATCGGTCTGCCCCTCGTCCAACCGGTGGGCGTTGGTGCAAATTTCCGGCGACGTGTCTCCTCTCCGAACGGCGAAGCGAATCCCTAAGCAGCAAACGGAAGCTACGGTTTTTCCAGTAGAAAAATAAGGTCAGACGGGGGGAAGCTGGCGCACACCGGTACGTACCTACTGAATATTCAAAGCTCGAGGGCTTTTTCTCCTATCCCGCGTCGTCGTCCCGCGCGTCCCTCCGGCCTTTTTTTTCCCCGTAGTTTCCTCCGCCTTCGAGTGGAGGACGATCGTGGTCAACAACGTGGAAGCGCCGGATACCGGCCGGTGTTGTAAAGCCCACCCGATTGCGGCTACACGTACGGCGCTTTGTTGCGCGAAAGCCAGCTTAATTAGACAGCTACGCGCGTTCGGCCGGGGTAAATTAGCTCAGTGGTATCGGCTTGTGAATTATATTCTCGCGCCTTCCTCTCGGAAAGCACGAAGAAATATCGAGTAATCGCGGTTCACGTTACTTGACTAATTACGTTGTAACTTATGTTATAACTTACAACACACTACGTTATTGTCTTGGTTTTTTTTATTTTTTTTTATTTTTTTTATTTTTTTTTAAAATAGATAGAGAAACATTTTTTATCATAAAGCGAATAGATATTTGATAAAAAATGTGTGAAAATGATATATCATAAAATATCCCAATATATGTAATCATGATTTCTCATAACAATATTTCGCGTAGTAACGAAAAATTCGGGGCACTGGGCTAATTATTTCCGCGATTCATACAATGCGTATAACGAGTTGGGATATATTTGCGTGTACGACCAAATGTAGCGTTTTATATTAAAGCTTGTATTTTTTTTTGTCATTATCGCGATTTCACAATTATCCTCTATTGAAAATGAACAATTTACAATCACGACTTGAAGCGCTGTTCTCGGTGAAGCTGGTCAATGCCTGTCGACAAAGCTTTGCCTCTGTCGAAGTTGGTTGCTGATCGAGGATCTTGATCTTAGTTAATTAGAAACATTGCGCATCCCCTGGTTATAATTCCGGTTTCTATCTCATAATAATGACATAATCGCGCGTAGAGTTACTAGTCATATTCTTTTAATAGTGCACGTATTCTTTGAGGTCGTGAATTTTTTGATCCGTAATTTTAAAATTTTATGTTTATAACATTAAAAAGAATTATTAACAAAAGTTATATTTTAGAAATTATTGTTTTAGAAATATGTTTATTAAATTATACCTACATTATAATGCAGACAAAAATTTTATCCCTCTTTTTCGCCTCCAAATTATCTTTTTTAAAAAATGTATATATGTACTCTTTTCTTGCATAGTAAAAAACGTTTTGTGGAAACTGTTCATTCGAGTTTTCGTTAAAATTTTATGTAGAATTTTTAACATATTTACGTGTTAATTTAACATATGTTGGAAACATGTGTTGGAAACTGTTCATTCGAGTTCTCGTTAAAATTTTATGTAGAATATTTAACGTATTCGCGTGTTAATTTAACATAATGTGATTATTATATTATGTTATTATATTATTATAGTATTTTGTGTTAAGTTGATATTCAATATTTCTTAATATCAAAATAACATAATTTATGAGTAACTAAACAAATGACATAAAAATATGTTGTAAAATACAAATTTTAAGATAAATGAAATACGTGTTAATGTAATAAGTATATATCACAAACATTAATTTTAAAAATATGCTTCCACAGTTTGCTTAGAAATTATGTCAGTATTACTTTTTTTGTGTTAATTTTTTTTTGTAATATTTGTGTTACTTTCTAACATATTCTTGTGTGAAATTAACAGAAAAATTTAAGTGGACCGTGAATTTAACAGAAATTTTCCAACTGTGTGTAATTCAGATATGATAACCCTAATTGGTTTAATTGCGAGTAATCTCAGAATCATTAAAACCCGTTCTACGCATCCAGTGTAGAGTTGTTACTTCACTGTTGTTACTTCCGTCCTCGTAACTCGCCCGCCGGACGAGGAGTAAAAAAAGGAACAGGAACAAATTGAGGAACGGCTTCCCGCTATTCCGTTAATCGTTCACCGGCGGCGAACTGGGGCATCGCGCGTTCGCGGTGCGATGGCTCGCGATCGAAGGATATAATCCTGCGAGGGCCGATCGTAAATCAAGTAACCCGTGCACACGCTCTCCGTACATCCGCGCTCTCATCATTTAAACGTCTCATGGTTAGCGGATATCTTCCCGAGTCTTCCGGCAGGCCTTTTTTATCCTTCCGAGATTGCGCTCGCGGGTAGGACGAGGGACTGGCACGGGGCACGGTGGATGAAGGGGGACATCGTCGAAGCACCGCTTCACATAAATATCCGCAGACACGCAGGTTGCCAGCCCGGCAAGAAGAGCACTTTTACTTGCTCCCGGTAATCGCGACGTGCATGCTTAATCAATATTCAAGTATTCAGTCGTGAGGCAAAGGAGGAAACGACCGGTAGCTCTCTTTCTCCTCCTCTCTCTTTCTCCCCCCCCCCCCCCCCCCCCCCCCCCCCCCTCCCTCTCCTCCCCTCGTTGATTTTACCCTTCGCTATCCCGCTCTCTCCACTTCATTGCGTCCTCTCTCTTCTCTCTCGAGTAGGAATGCGCATAACTAGTTTCGTGTCCTCGGATATCCTCCCTCACGATATCCCTCTCGGACAATTATGAGTACCGCCTAGTCGGGGAGTAAAGGGAAGCAACGATGGGCATAAGGGACAGGCGGGAGTAACTTGCACGCTAGGCACCGCCACGACAAATGTCAGCCCCCGTCGTGTTTAAACATTATTCAGGTGCGTCCTAAGCGCGTGTATATAGACTGGTTGACTTAAATATTCGCAACGGTACGTCCTTGAGCGGTAAAGAATGTTGGGGAAACAATAGGTGCGGAAGAATAGGGATGAAATTTCAGCGTAAGCTTTTTACTAACGAATGACAACCATCTTGTTTAATTTATGTACGATAAATATATCTTTATTTTTTTTTTGAACGTTCAAATTATTTACCTTTTTTAGTTTAAAGCATTTCTGCAGAAAGAATTACAAATAAGATATGTATTTTATATTTGTATCTAAGACTTCTACGTATCTCTGGGCAATGCTCATCTATTATTTTCCTTTTCTAGAATAAAGTTTTAAAGAAAAGTATCCCATCTATTCACTCAAAGATTAATGAATAGCACTGACAGGTATATTAAAGCGCGCTCCAGAATTTAAATAAAGTCTACTCTAAATTCTTTGGAGTGGAATCTCAGTTTAAAGAGTGAAATTGAGCCTTGAAAAAGAGTGTCTCAATTTTCAATCTTTACTCTTCGAGTGAAATTCACTCTAAGAATTTTAGAGAGTATTTATTGCATCGCTACTTTATATTAATATTATTTTTGTATACTAAAACATTTGTAGTTTATAGTATCTCGGAATATATGTACAGTATAAAACTTCAAAAAAAAAAAACGATCCAATAATAGATTTCAAAATATGAAATATTTTTGTATTACGGAATTAATCTAAACTACAGTGTGCGCCGGTTAGACTTACAGGTGGTATCATCCACGTATTTCTTGGCGAAGACATTCACGATTGCTTTTACAACGTAGCGTAATGCATTCGTTGTCAGAAATATAACGGAGGTTGGTAGCTTTAGAGGCTTCTTCGTGTCTTATGATGGAGACTCCCTGCTATGTGGCCACGTTACGTCAAACGAAATCAAATATTGTTATTTGAAAATTATACATATTAATAGTCAAACGATGTTTCTTCCATAAATACTGAGAGAATTTTAGTAGAACTTATAATCGATCGTATCAACGACGGCTATAAGTTTAGTTGAGAAACCAAATTAAATAAATTCTCTTTCCCCGTATTTATTATACGTACGATATATAACGTACGCTAAAATTCGAAATCAAATCATGATCTAGAAATAGAGTGAATTATCAAATTTAGACAATCCATTATTCCATATTATTATTCGCAAATTAAATATAAAGCGAAATGACTAAAACGGAGCAAGGTTTTGATTAGACTTGACCAGCGCAGTAATAGACCATGATAATAATATGTAATGATAGACTACACCTTTGACGTTTGATGCTTGTTCGATTACAAGCCGACTGATGTGTCGTACGATCATTAGAGTTTACGCGAGCTCTCTCT